TCCACGTTCATAAACTTTATTAACTGCTGGGATACCACTTTTGCCTCAAGGGACATTTTAATGTGTATGGATTACGTTTGATTCAATTGAGTAAAATATGTATTGCTTTTTAAATGTATAAACTTGAAAAAATTGGTTTTTGACGATTTTTTTTTTTTTTTTTTTTAAACATTTTTATATTTCGTTTGTGGCTCAATATTTTGTTTGACTAAAGTTTGACTAAATAACAAAAGATATACGTTGACTAGAAAGTGGAAGGAATTTAACATTTTTTAATAAAAATACTTTCGCAAACTGAAATAATTAATTCAATTGTTTACTTGTCCTGATGTATTAACTCATTACATCTCTATGATGTATCTAGAAAGCTCTCTCCGTTCTCTTGCCTTTAGTAATCGACAGGCGCAATGACCGTAAAAAAAGTAGCCAGGCTCCCGCCTGTTGCAAACTCGAACGAAAGTTACTACGCATATGTATTTGTATTTGAACCACACTACATTATATTTTAGTACGATTGTTTTAAAAAATAATTTTTTGTTTTTAATATCCACTCAAGCCTAAAGCCCTCTTTTATTTGATGATACTTTCGTTTCAAATGACTGTATGTGTGTATGTATTAGATAAAGCTCAGTCAAAAATTAATATTTTGGCCATTTGCTCTTGCTCCTGCATGTCTTGCTAACAAATGGTGATGTGTGTATGTAAGATTTAAATACAATTATCGTCCGTGAAAATGTATATTGATTTTATTATACGAGAACTTTAAGGATGTGAACTAACTATATTTCCCAAACAGTACACTTTTGAACCAATTTTTTTTTTTTGGTTTGCATACAATTCGACAACGGTTTATGTTTTCGGTTTATTTGTTTAATTAGCAAATATTTTTGACAACGGGCCACGGTTATATTTTGTATTGGTCGTTCTTCTGTATTTGTTCACATTTTTCTTTAGTCCAACACAAGCAACCGATTTTGAAGATAAATAATTATTTATTTAATTCATCTTAATTCGTATTTGAGTTAATTGAATTCGTGTTTATTGGTGTACATGGTCCTGTCTGTCCTCTGGTTATATTTGTTGGGAAATGTGTATATTCTGCCAAAACATTTTGACGAATTACACTCGCCTTAAAATTAAAAGTTTACGAGCAAGCGTCGTTTTATATCTACTCTGCACGCTGGAGAGGCCGAGGCCGATGGGTACATGTGCAGTGATAGAAAATGCGCAAGGACTTGTGCGCAGAAGTCTCATGTAAAATTTCTCTGAGACGTTTAAAAGATATATATTTTTTCTCTTATCACATAGGTATCATTAAACAAAGATTTAATATATATTATTTCCTTTTGCTATCATTTTTTGATTGTCATATAGGTCATTTCGGAAAGCAAGGTATAAAGGTGAAAGTTTCACTTTAATATTAAAAAACCGACTTCTGAAAATACACTCGAAAAGTGTATACTTTTTAACTAATAATAACCAAACTACCCACAACAGAGAAAATGTTCGTTCGCTTATGGGAACTGTTGAGTAGCTGTTGGAAGCGGTATCTACGTAATTCCGTTGATACCGACACTTGTTGCACGAATTATGTATCTCTCGACCTGATAGGGAATGCTATTAATAGGCATATGTGTGTGTGTGGTATCGGCATGAAAATTGTATCGACAGAGATACCGATAAAGAAGCAGCAAAATAGTAGTGCTCATAAAAAATAGTCGATATAGCCATGTCTGATGACGGTGATGAAGTGTTAAATATCCGTAAAATTAGTGTGATACATAAACACATATGAATTTACATTTATACATGCATATCTACATATGTATGTATGTGCACATTTATGTATATACTGACTGATAACACGACTTGACGCAATTTTTCCGCTTCGATCCAAACTAACTTTTTCTAAAAAATATGAGACTTTTAAATGGTTTGATGGTAATTTTTGTATACCTGGTACTCGAAGAGTAAACAGGGTATATTGTATTTGTGGATAAAAGTGGATGTATGTAACGCACAGAAGGAAACGTTTCCGACCCCATAAGGTATATACATATATTCTTGATCAGCATCAATAGCCGAGTCTGTCTGTCCGTCTGTTGTATGTATAAAAGCTAGAGCCACCAAAAAAACCACTAAGGTACAGGCTTGCTACTGAGTACCGGGTATACACGTTGTGACGCGTAAAAAGCGTCTCAAACGTCCCTCCTCGTTAGATTTCTCTTATCTTCAAAATTGTGGATACAGCAGATTGTCGACTTTTATAGGGGCGGAAGGGGAGCTGCTAATTTTTGTAATACACTTTTGTCAGTGTGATATCACAGCAGTGAGGAGGCGAAATTCGGTAGCTCTATGGCTCTTATAGTCTCTGAGACCTAGCCGACGAACAAGACCAACAGACGGACAGACAGACATGGCTCTATTGACTCGGCTATTGATGCTGATCATAAATATACAGTTGTGTTCAATGAAATAGTAGTGCAGCACCTCATCACATTCAAATAAATTTTCGAGACACTTCCATACTTTCAAGTTAAACAAGTGATACCTTTTTGAATAGAGTGGAATGTAAGCAAAGAAATCCGTACACATTTGCATTCCATAATCTTGTTTTTCATAACTTTTAACGGGTACCCTTGAAATGGGCTGTTTATTGAAATAGTAGTGCTGAGTGCAAGTATTTCAAAATAATTTAAAAACAAAACAAATTCATTTAAACGAGAAGGGACGTGTGAGACTCTTCTTACGCGTCACAACTTTTATACCCGGCACTGCACTACCCGGCATCTGCACTTCAGCGGTGTTTGTCAAATTTTAAATTTTTTCTTCATCTGTCATCTACATCTACAACACTTCTCACACCAACACGCTCCTTTAGCTCGCCCCCCTTCCCTAGACCCACACACTGCAGACTCGGGGCAGAGGCAGAGTCCGCACACTGCAGAAGCAGAGTGTGATTGAGAGAATGTGAAAAAAAACAACAAAAGCTGCGGGACGGGGTGGGTTTAGCCACTGCACATAAATTTCTTCATTGTGGCTATAAAAATCATCCAATCGGATCCCAATTTGGTGATCTAATAGATATGTTCATTCCCTACGGAATGCGGTTTTTAGTTTTATTTTATCTTCAAAATTGTAGGTTTGGGTGGTTTTCGCCCTTTTGCGGGGGCGGAAGGGGGCGGGGCTCATTTTTTAAATACACTTGAAACAATCCAGGCGCTCATAAGGACGGACAGACAGACACGGCTCAATCGACTCGGCTATTGATGCTGATGAAGAATATAAATACTTTATGGGGTCGGAAGCTTTTCCTTCTGTGCGTTACATACAACCGTTATTCGCAAAAATACAATATACCATATTTACTCTTCGAGTATCTGGTATAAAAAACTGAGCCAACAATTTGTTTCTTGAGTATCCAGAACGTTAATAAAATCCACAGTTTCTTATCGATATATCGATACGAAGTACGTCTGTGGACTGAGAGAACAGGTGGTAGACAGGCAAGAAATATATGCTGACAATTATTTCTGGTGTGTAGGAGGTGGAGGTGACGAAGTGCGCACAAAAACGTAAAAGAGAGTCGAAATAGATCGTCGGGAGTCAAAAAAATACTTCTCCCATCCCATGCCTGTATTGAAAATTAAATCATTTTACTGAAATTAATAAATTAATTATTTACTATTTGTGCTCTTTTGGCAATAATGGACAATTGGCAAACCGTATGCATTATTGGCAAATGCCAAATGCATTCTCAATTCAACACCAACTCATTTTGTTAATTTGTATTTCAGTTTGAATTTTAAACTGCCACTGCAGTACACATGTACCAAACACAGCTGATTCTTATGCCTGTGTTAGTTACGTTCCACGCACAAAGGAAATAGATATCCAATTTTTTTCTCGAATTTTTGTGGTGCTGGATACCAGCCCATAAGTGTTAAAAAGCACGAATTATATTTATGGAAAAACTTAGCCCCTTTATAGAGACTTTTATAAACTTTATATCAATATATCATTAACTATCGACGAAGTCTGCCGCCGCAAAAACCATATCCGAATTTGTCCCGGCCGAATCGCTTGGTTTATGAAAAAATCTCTCTAAAAAATCTCACAAATCGAATTTAGATCCAATGGGTCAAACGGTGCGTAATAATGGTCAAATAATTTAGAAAACATTATTTTTTCTATTTGGCTACATAAAATAACATACTCATTTAACTAACATGAATACAATTTTTAATCATTTCTGTTCATGACGTCTCGGAAAAATAGTAATACATAATACATACATATAATAGTAATACTAGGAAAGAAAATTAATTTATGGAATTCAGAAGTAGCACACAGCATTAAATTTAATACGCGAGTATATCTACTTATTAGCATAGTCTTAAAAACTACAGTAAGCGTTCTAACACCAGAAAGTGTCACACAACCCTTAACAAAATGTTCTTTAAAAATATTGTACATATTCTTGTGCTTTGGGTACATTACGAAGTAGTTCGTGTAACGTGTTTCATTTAGGGGATGGAGTCATATGCGCAGACGCTATGTCAATGAGAGGGCCAATGAGAGAGTTCATATATTTAGGATGTATGTCCATTTGTTGAAATGTGTATGTGTGTGTGTGTCCACTCTTTAGTGAGCTATGGCTAAATTAAAGATGGCGTCTGTAAATCGCCCACCCAGAAAAAATTTCAATGGCGTGGTGGAAGCATTCTGTACAAATACACAATACACTACCAATAAGAACAAACTGAACAATTTTATTCGAACGTATTCCAGATTGGATGGAAATTTAAATATTTGAAATGTCAATATATTACGCTAAATGTTCAATGCTAGCGAGGAGGGGTATTTTGTTATTGACATCCAAAATATTAATTTTTTGTATGTATATACTTTTTTGCACATGTTTACACGCAGTAATTGTAAATATAACGTTAATAAAAGCTTTTAAATAGTATAACACACTTGGTTAATCCATGTCTTACCTTGGATAACGATTATTCGTTGTTGGGTCCTGAGATCCACAGTCTTGTTTGGAACTGGCACCCACAATGGAAGGATGGGAATTTAAAACGTGGTGTGATGTAGCGTGTACTGAAGGCAGAAGGCTCGGTGAGAATCGGAATGGGAAATCGCTAAAATATAAATGTTAAACGTTATTATTAACTGCATTATAAAAATGGATATTGAACTTTAATTCTAAATCTTAATTTTCACCTTGAAAGCGTGGTGTTAATTGGTATTGATGTAGGATAAGGGGTTCTAAAACTAGATGCTGAGTATACCGATGGTGTGTGCCTGTAAAAATAAATACAAGATATCATCAGTCGATTAGATATTCAAAAAATTCTCTGAAGCATAACAGAATATTGTTACCCACATTGCTTTGACCGCAAATCAATTACACAAACCCCTAAACTTTTTGAGGGTATACAAATTAAGTGTTCCGCAAAGCGTTGTGTATAACCTTATAACATAAGGTAACCTTAAGACATTTTACATGTACACCATTGTTCTGAGGCACACGCTCAGCGGAACACTGCCATGAAATGAAAAGGAATTAAGTAAAGTACATACCAGGAAGCAACCTGAGACATATCAGGACTAAGCATTGGGTAAGGGTATTGGCCTGCTGCAAACGGATATAAAGCGGGACGTGTTAAACCTGAAAATAAAATAAGTAATTTTTTCACATTGTAAGTCATACAGTTTATACAATCAAGATTCCGCAAAAGATTAGGAAACAATAACAAGGCAATATACGTGCATATCATGTAGGTAGTTGTAGTTGTATACTATACTGTATTGAGTATACTATGCTCAGTATAGTAAAGTTTGGTATTTCGAAGACTCTGCACTTTCATGATTTGTATTATTTAAACATATGAGATTTATATTGAGAATGCACAAAAAAGTTGAATTTTCTGTTTTTTGTATGTATTGTATTTGTATTGTTTGTACCCTATGGTGTATACAACACATTTAAAAATATTGGAATTAATATTCTTTTATGAGCATTTCCATGAAAATGCATTTCCTTGCATTTGTTGCTAAACTGCATAAGCAATTGAAAAAATTCGAATTCACCGTTTCTTTAGACTGTGAAAATATTACCAAATTACCATTGTACATATGTAAATTTTTAATGTTCCGTATTTAATTGTCACGGAATGTGCATTTTTACAAACAAATGTACATACATACAGTTGCGAAAAAATAATAGCACCACTACAACACATTTTGTTCTTGGCCAAAAAACAAGCAATTAATGTTTCGATTTTTAAAATTTTTTTTTTGTTTTTTTTCATATAGTTAAGTATTCCCCATTAACAAAAATATGTTGCCTTTCTTTAAATTTTTGTTTTTATATTTATTTTCTTAACTTATTTATTAAAAAATACCACAAATATGGCGAAAAAAAATAATAGCACCATTAGCACTATTTTAGGTGAATCTCCGTAATTTCGCGGAATTGACTTTGTATAAACCACGAATTAGTTTTGAACAATATTTCACTTTTTCTATTATAAAAGCTAATAATAATCATTACAATAAGACGTGGAAAGCTCTGAAATGCGAAGAAGCGCGACCTCAGCAAAAAAAAATGTATATTTGACGTAAAAACTTACAGAGAATTTGGGCAATTGGTTGGAAGTTTCAATAAAATGATTAAAAACGTCTTAAACGATGAAGAAAAGTGTGAAACACGTGGATGAAAACGATCTATGGCCGCTTTTAGGGTCAAAAGGCTGATTCATGAGAGCAATAAGGTTCCCTTCAAGCAAATATCGAGATTAAAAAAATAGCTTAAAATAAAAGCGACGGGCTAGAAAGTTTGGATATATCTTAGACAACATAGCCTAAAAGCCTGCTGCCCAAAAACGCTCGAACTTTCAAACGCCAGACATATTACTAAGCACATGATGTTTGCAAGGGAGCATGCCAATTGGACATCCCTAAAATGGAGGAAATTTTTAATGTCAGATGAGTAAAAAGTGTTTTATTTACTGAAAAGGGATCTCGATCATACTTATGACGTCCAAGGAACGCCAGTACACCAAAGAAAATCATTAAAAATAAAAGGTTTAATTTAATGGTATGGGCCTGCTTCTCTTACTATGGAGTAGGTTCAATATATTGAATAAAAACCATTAAGGATCAGCACGTGTGCGTGGATATCATGGAGACTGTAATGCTACCGTTTGCAGAATATGAAATACCACTAGAATAGGTCTTTCGACTGGAAAATAACCCAAGTATGAAAACAAAGCAACTGTTCGGGGCCAACACTGAACGCGTGAGAGTGCCCAGCACAGTCGCCTGACATAGAAAATTTGTGGTGCGCCATCTAAAAGGCAGTTGCTGCTTCCAAACCAACCACTGTAAAATCACATTGAGAACAAATTTAAGAGTCCTGGTCCAAAGCTCCCCAAAAGCTATGCCTGGACTTAGTGGCTTCCATGCCATCTGATGTTTGCCCAAAATAGGACACTGAACTAAATCTTGAATGATAAATATAGATTTAGAATAGTTAAAAAGTGTTAGCTAAGAAATTCGTTACTTCTTCTTTATTTTTTAAATTTTAAATCAATTTTTCAAAAGTGGTGCTATTATTTTTTTCGCCTAATTTGACCAGTTTCACTAAAGTTCCTTAAATAATTGAAAAGCCTTACAAAAAATATGATTTTTTGTTGTTTCCAAATTTGTAAGACTCTTCCTTTATAAAAATGTGCTTAAAGTTTCGTTAAAGTTAAAAATGTGCGTTGGGAAACTATTTGAAAATTGCTTCTGGTGGTGGTGCTTTTATCTTATTCACAGCTGTACATATGTACATATACGACAACATAAGTAATACAATTAAATATAACAACTATTATGATTTTAATCAAAAAACATGCTGAGATTTGAATCTCTTTAAAATCTTCAGCGTTTCGGGAAGAATATGCATTAAACACAAATTCTACACAAATTATATCGTCAAATATAATTGATTACCCACAACAGTGCCATAAACACGTACATTATATGTACAAATGTACACAATAGTTTATAAGGGCTGGAAATGAATTTTCTCGCTTGTCGGGAGTAAAGTAGATGTGTAAATATAGGATTATTTAGCATTTTCATTTCTACTTTCGTGCCGTTTTTTTTTTTAATTGAAATTTTGTTGTCCTTTCTATTTCATGTCCCGCTGATGTCGTTCTTCTTTTAGCCCTCACATTTTATGCCATTGTTGTCATTTTCAAGTTTTTATTGTTACACGATGCGGCAGCATAACAAACTGCCAGAAGGGTGACGGGACCGGGGACGTTCGCTGCAATCACCCGCGGGCAGCAACGTGTGCCAGAGGGGACGAGTCATGCCTTTCCAGAATTGAATTGAACTAGCGACAAAAAGATGTCATTATTATGTGGTTGTGCAACATGTTTTTATTCATTAGGTACTCTGTCAGATATTCCATACCATCCCATCCCGTTGAAGGGGTTGGCTCATATCATATTAGTAATCTCTTCCCCCAGCTATTTGTTACCGTCTGTTGAGCCACCCTAAAACTCGATGCAATTGTTCTGTGAACTACTATCAATTTCAAATTCAAATAAGGGTAGAACCCATTAAACGATGTGATTACCTTTGTCCCATAGCGACTACTATTGTGACATCATTAGGTGCACTCGACCTACAACTAAACTTAACAATAAAAAAATTTTAAATAAAAAATAAATGCTACGCGCGGTATTTCACAAACATACATTTGCATAACACAAAAAAGTTTTACATGTGTATGTATGCTGTATGCTCGATGTATGCATATCTGTATTCGCATGATTGTTCACTAGAAAATAAGGTTTCGAGAAAACTAAAAGTATTTTCGATATCATCAAATTACCAATGATCTAATCTACGATGTGCCTACTTAATGTTGGGCATATCATTACTGTGAGATCTAGAGAGCCATGTGCCGACAGGGATTGCAAACGTGACAAACCACCCGACTTACAGTTCCGAGTTTGAGTGTCATGCCATGGAAGGAAAACGGGGGTTGTTTCCAGCCACAGCCAAATCCAACACAACACTGCACTGCAGGTCATGAACGACGTTCTTTTAACCACGCCGCGCAAAGGGCGGTCCTCTTAAAAAGGAAAACGCCCCTCTTCATTTTTTACTAATAGTTCAGCAATTAGTCCTTTATACAATATTGAAACTTTAGTTAGTTGAAATTTTAGTTTAATCATTTCATGGACATGCATATGTACACGCTATTCGATATTTTATTTCTACTGCCGTCATCCTGACTCGTCCAAAGATGCTTTGACGTATTTATGCCATTCCTAAAAAGCACCTAAGACGAGTCTTAGTACTTATTATTTGAAGGGTTATTTGAAGATATTTTGTAAATTAAGAAAATAAATAAATCGACTCGAATTCATAATTATTTAAGGCGAAATAAAATGCAATGATTACTGTACCCTACCCACTGTACCCATTCGTAACCACATATCAACCCTGTAGCTTTACACTCTTCAAGTTAGTTGAGATTTTATTGTGTTATTCAATTATTAGTACGCAGCCATTGTAAACGTTCATAAAACCGTGTAATCCATTGGACCTCTTAAGTGCATGCCTTTTATTTACGCCGCTGGTACCCATTAAATCTGAGTCCATGCTCGATTTCAACCCTCCACGAATCCCACAGAAAACAAGCAAACAACGAGGGAAATTTGGCAGAATGGATGGATCAATCCCATATTATAGCATGTATACAAATAAAATCGCATCATGTGCAATTATTATTTCATAATTTGTTTGAATTTCGTCTTTGAGGTCGAGGGTGAGAAAGTCAATAGCTCGCGGTTGGGTTACCCGGTTGCCCATACCCAATGAGTGAGAGTATAAGGGTGTACAAGTAGTAGTATAGCCGCAGTATAACCACAACGACAGCACATACATGTACAAAGTTCATAGTATAAATAATAAATAATTGCTCTCACATTTTGTATAGGGATATTAATAGATGACGAAGCTAACTTTTTAAAAAAACAATTAACTATTTGAATGCTTGCGCTAAAAACTTAAATTATTTATTTCCTGCAGAATACTATTTTGTTTAAAATGTGTAGTTTTCAAACAACATAATAGAGGTACGTAGTTTTTTTTCTGCTGCAGAGAAAGCATATACCGGAAATGATAAGTTGTGTGCAAAAAGCTTGGTAAGTATTTCAGCTAATAAGGAAAGAATTGAAAGGTCTCTAAATAAGAAATCGGTCATGCTCTTGAACCATAACCGTTATAGTATGTATGAAAGACATATATATGCTGAAGGTTTTTGAAAATCATCTCCGTTTCAGCTTAATGCTTTATTAGCTTTATCCTTTCGGGATCAGATTGTATTTGTTTTCTGCAAATTGTTTTTCGTGCTGGTAATATTTTAAAGTCTCAAAAACATGAGTTGAAGAAATTTAGATCCCACTAAGGGAAGGGGGGCTAAGGAAAGCGGTGCCGCTTGCATACCTCTTCTACAACGACTAAGGATAGGATATGGATAATGATTAGAAATTATAAATATAAATAAATTGTAACTACAGAGCAATCCGTAACTATCTAATTGAATTAAATTTGCTGCCGCATATCAAGTATAAGTTCATGAAACAAAAACGGAACGCTATGTAACAATGGATACAATCTGGTTTGGTTTTCTATGATCATTCATACATATACATATATCTCGAATGATTTTTATTGCACTGCTGCCAATTGTTTATGTTTTTAAAGATAACAGTTTTGCAAATCATTTAAATCCAAACTTAGTGCAGAACCCTATTTATTAAATTTTAGTACACGAGATGAAATTTTTCAATTTTTAAGGATATTAACAGGATTTGGTAAAAGGATTGCTGGTTTTTATTGACTTCTAAAAATAATTATTTAGCTAGACAGAAAAAAGAATTGTACTATCTGTAGTACAGTTCTTCTGAGAAATGGAAATCTCTTCAGTAAATTAAGAAAAATGTAGGACGTTTAGAGTCCAGGCTTATTCAGAATGCCTTCAAATCAACAGTGCTTCTACTCAAACTGGCAATGAAATGTCATCTAAGATAGTGGGGAGTAGACGTCAATATTTGGATTTACCAGGACGTAAAATCGGAAAACAACGTTTTTTTCTGTGCGTTAGATACAACCGTTATTCCCAACAAATACAATATACCCTCTTTACTCTTCGAGTACCGGGTATAATAATGGTACCGTATACTCTCACTGGACTACTGATATTAAGTAAATTGTAGAAAAATGTTGATACGTTTTGAGTATTAAAAATAGTTTTAAAAGAAACCCGTTATTTTAAATAAACATGTACAATATTCAATAAATTAAAACTTCTCACATGATACATGTACATTAAATAAGCAAAAACATTGTCTAGTGTTTTCTCTTCTGAGAGCTTAAATGATTAAGAGCATTATAAAGAACGACGATAATTTATTTATTCAAGATAAACAATCTCAGCTGATATATATGTACATGCATATGTACATACATTTGTACGTATTCAAATCGAAGGTCTAAACCGGCTACCACGTTCTAGTTCGAAAAGAACACGAAATGTATTAATGGAAAAATTCGTACCCAGAATATTAAACAAAACAAAAATTCTCAAAGAATTTCTTACCCATTGCTTTGGGATCCAATTGATAAGGAGGAATACCACAGTGCGCAGGAGGTGGTGTTGTAAGTGGGTCAGTATTGTGGCAGAAAAATGGAGGTAGTCCCATTTTGTTAGCCTGAAAATATAGGTTATAATACATTATTAGATTAATTATATAAAATATGTAAACGTATTGCATAACTTAGAGGAGGACGTATTTAGATACATACATATGTACAGCTTTATACAGACCCAATCGAGATGGTAATTACTAAATTAATATAACTGAAAATAGGAACCCAATTCATTTCTATGTTCAATGTACATATGTTTGCTAAATAAACAGTTATTTCTGAATAACTGTGCATCTGTACGTTAATGGCTGCGTACATGTATACTTCCAAATAAATATTTATATAGTATACTAAAACGTATATATGTATATATTTACATAGATACAATGTAAAATTTATCACTGATATTGTCGTCATACTTGTTGTGGCTTGATGAATAAAACAGAAACAAAAAAAACAACATACAAACAGTAATAATAACAAGCGACAGTGGCTACAACGGCAAACAAGTCAGCAAAACTGAAAATATTCCTTTGATGTTGCCGCCGCTAAATGAATATAAAACGTGCCGCCAACGCTGGTTTACATACATACATATGTACATACATATTTATGTATATACCGGTTGCTCCCGACACGACACCACGGCCACCCCTTTCGGCCTAGAAGATATTGCCGGTGTGCGAGATTGTTCATTGTATACATTACATTCTCAGCTCATATTGCATTCATTAACTGTGTTGGATTTACTTTTTCATGTGTTTCCGATTATTACGAATATAGTAATATACATTTGCAAGACTATATTACAATTTCATAATGGTAAAGTGCATTTTCGAAGATGTGTTCGATTCCTTTTCAAGTTCTATTGAAATCTGTATAATAATTTGGCATAATATTCGCCATTGCACAATGAGTAAAGGCCGAATTTTTGGAATTAATGTAATTTTTGGTAAAATATTTGAATATAGCATAAAACTGGTGTTAGAAGATTTTTACGGAGTACCATAGCTGTCGGCTGATTTTTAAGGAGCTTTGACTTGTGAAAAAGTGCGGGAAACATTAAACAACTTTCAACTTTAAGTGTAACTCGATTTCAAAGTTTAAATAAAAGTTAAAATATGGAAATTGCTGGTCAAAGTATTTTAATTAATTGTTAATACATGTTTTCTGATAGTTGCGTATAGTTATATCATTTTCAAATGTATTTTTCGTGTGTATTTTTAGCTAGGATTGCATTTTTTTATTGCACGTTCTGTGGAATGTTACTTTTGCACTGCACAGAGGTTCAAGTTACTTGTTATTAACCAATTATTATAGAATCGTGTGGTGTCAATGCTTTTTTCCCGTTTTTGCCCCTTTTCGCCAACTGTGAAATTTGTATGAGTTCACTCATAAAGCGCTGCTGGAGGCCGGCAACTATAAAATGTTGTTCTTTTAAAAAGTATTGACGAAAACTGTCTAACCAAAGAATAAACTATTACAATTTAAAGGAAAATTTACAATTTATTGCTAAGGTAGACAAGTGCTTAGCAAAATGCAATCGCACGTTGAAGCGATTCCAATCAAATTACATTTATCCAATCATTCAACCAGTTAATCAAATATATTTTTTTAAGTTCAACAGTGTTTTAAAGGAGCTTTTATCATAATTAATCTTTTCAATAAGTTTTTTTATATTAAATACGAAGAAAGAATATTTATTAAATATTTTATATATATAGTTTTGCGAATAACGGTTGTTTGTAACGCACAGAAGGAAACGTTTCCGACCCCATTAAGTATATATATTCTTGATCAGCATCAATAGCCGAGCCGCTTGAGCCATGTCTGTTTTGTCCGTCCGTCTGTACGTCTGTCCGTCCGTCTTGTTGAGCGCCTGGATCTCAGAGACCATAAAAGCTAGAGCCACCAAATTTTGCATTCAGACTTCTGTATGCTCGCACTGATACAAGTGTATTTCAAAAATGAGCCCCGTCCCCTTCCGCCCCCGTAAAAAGGCGAAAACCTCCCAAACCTACAATTTTGAAGGTAAAAGAAAAAAACGCCATTCTGTAGGGAATGGCAATATCCATCAGATCACCAAATTGGGATCCGATGGGATCAATATTATGGCCACAATGAATAAATTAATTTGCAGTGGCCACCCTGTCCAGCCGCTTTTGCTTTTTTTTCACATTCTCTCATTCACACTCTGCTTCGTGTAGTCAGCGGCCTCTGCCTCTGCCTCGAGTCTGCAGTGTGTGGGTAGGGAAGGGGTGCGAGCTAAAGGAGCGTGTTGGTGTGAGAAGTGTTGTAGATGTAGATGACAGATGACAGATGAAGAAAAAATGTTAAATTTGACAAAACACCGCTAAGGTGCAGATGTAGTACTGAGTGCCGGGTATAAAAGTTGTGACGCGTAAAAAGCTTTCCACAAACATTATTGGTTAAGGTCCAAACATCATACAAAAATATGTATTACAAAGCTTTTGAAAGATTTTGCCTAATATTCATTATTGAGTCTATTAGAGTGATCGCTAAAACGGGCTATTTACACTAAATAATTCATAAAAAAACCTTTTTACTTATAAGTCGAATTCAGTAGTTTTTAATAAAGGAAAAGAGTCTTGATTAATGGAAAAATAAATTTTTTGCACTAGCATTCGTTGCTGGATTTTTAGAATTTTGAAAACTCTATTCAACTGATTGGGAGTGTGATATATTCTTGATCAGAATCAATAGCCCAGTCGATTTAGCCATGTCTGTCTGTACGTCCGTCTCGTTGAGCGTCTGGTTCTCAGAAGCTATAAAAGCTAGAGCCACCAAGCGGGACGAGCTAAAAGAGCGTGTTGGTGTGAGAAGTGATAATGTAGATGACATGTAAAATGTAAAATTTTATAAAACCGATAAGGTACAGATGTACTACTGAGGGAATAAAGGTTGTGACGCGTAAGAAGCGTTCCCTTCTCGTTTAAAACTATATTTGGAAAAAATATAACTTTAAATTAATATTTGTAGCGACAATTAATCTTTTTTTATCGAGCCCAAAAAATTATTTTTTAGCATTTTATGCACCGCATACAGCTCCGAAATTAAAGTTCCTCATTCACTGACATTGTGGACATTTAGACATTATAGCACCATGTTATCGTGGAAAACTAAATTATGGACGTTTTTTCTTTTAAATGCAACCTTAAATTCGTACATTTTTTTCTGACAACCACTTATGTTAAAAGATAAAACAAGCCCAGAATGTAAGTGGTGCAGCTTTTCAATAGCTGAATCTTCATCGCCACAATACCAATCGTATCCCTATTCAAGGAAAACAAAAACAAGAAAAGTAAGCAAAACTCTGTTTCGCCTTGTTTTTTCATGCGATCTTGTGACACTTAAATCTCTATGAAAGCCAATCGAACACTATCCCAGGTTAGTTCTCAATTTTTAGTTTGGATAGTTTTCTGTAGTCAATGTTGAAGAGTAACTCAGAAACTAGATCATTTAGATATTTTGTCATTGAATTACAAAATACAAATACAATACAAAATACAAATCATATAAAATTTCATTTTCTTTCACCTGAGAGATACAAGATGTCAATGAAAATGTATTGTTGTTCATTGAAAAAACATAATTTTTGTAGTTTAGATTTTATAACTATGTCCAATGCGCTGGTAAAAAGGGAGATGTTTTGACGGAGCAAAGTGTACTATTTGAACTTTCTTAGACTTTTCTTAGAGATTATCGGGATGTTCTTTAGCTGTCGAATATCGTAACTTGACGCCATTGTCTGAAACAATAATCGTGAACTGATTTTGGGGTTGCAATCGGTTTCGTTTAATAAAAACTCGCTAATACTCGTTAGTCCAGGGGGGTTGTTTTTATTGTTTCAATCGACTGAGTTGGGCTTTTAGATTGCTTCCTACATTCGAAACTGCCACGAGTGCCTGCAAGAATGCCGCGTTATGTGTATATGTAAATATATGCATGTTCTCCTACTACATTGACATCCATTCGTATGTAAGAGAGAGCGAGAGAAAAAACAAAAGGAACGCAAGGTACGAACAACAAAGCTGGAAAATCGGAGGAAGAACAACGTCGCGCTTACATTAGTCGACAGAGAAAGAGACTACCGACAACCGTCAAAGGGGGTGGAGCAAAAAAGTTGTGTGTACTTATATGTACATTTTATGTTGGTGGTATTCGCTTTTGTTTAAAGAATCTAAATTCTTAAAGAGAAACTTTTTTCGTACTTTTAATGGTTACTTTAAATTAACTTCAATAATTTTATATGTTTACATGTATTTCTATAACGCGTTTTAATGATGTTTGAATAGATATTTACATATGTAGATCAAGGTCGCAAAGTTGTGATGTTCCTTACAAATGCGTATTCTAAACGAGAAGAGACGTGTGAGACGCTTCCCACGCGTCAAAACTTTTATACCCGGCACTCAGTACTACACTCAGTACCTTACCGGTTTTTTGTCAAATTTTACATTTTTTCTTCATCTGTCATCTACATCTATAACACTTCTCACGCCAACACGCTCCTTTTGTTCGCCACCCTTCCCTAGAGCCACACAAGGCAGAGACGGCGCAGAGGCAGGGGCCGCACACTACACGAAGCAGAGTGTGAATGAGAAAATGTGAAAAAAGCAACAAAAGCTGTGGGACAGGGTGGGTATACCCACGACAGAGGCAGAGGCCGCATACCTTAGAAGCAGTGTGTGATTGAGAGAATGTGAACAAAAAAAACAAATACAAGCTACGGGACGGAGTGGGTTTGGTGATCTGATATATATAGTCATTCCCTACAGAATGATTTGGGAGGTTTTCGCCCTTTTGCGGGGGCGAAAGGGAGCGGGGCTCATTTTTTAAATACACTTGTACCAGTGTGAGCATACAGAAGTCTGGATGCAAAATTTGGTGGCTCTAGCTTTTATAGTCTCTGAGATCCAGGCGCCCAACAAGACGGACGGACAGACAGACAGACAGACAGACATGGGCTATTGATGCTGATCAAGAATATATATACTTTATGGGGTCGGAAACGCTTCCTTCTGTGCGTTACATACAACCGTTATTCATACAAATACAATTACCCTATTTATTCTTCGAGTACCAGGTATAAATGACGGAAAATTCGGGGCGCAAAATAAAAACCCGTATGGTCACTACGAGAGAACGAACGGTTACGGAACGAACAACGTTACCTCAAGCTATTGTTGCTATTGATAAACAATATATGTACGTTTATATATGGGAACAGAAACGTTGCGAATTTCTTTACTGGCAATAACATAGCTTGCATATGTGCACCTAGGTCCATCAAGCCCACAAAAATATACATATGTAAAGAAAAAACATTTCATATATTTCATTCAAATTGATTGAAAGGTAACTAATTTACCATACTCACATATTTTTATTTGAATTTTACATTTTTAGCTAGAGCCAGTTTTGACCGCCGTCAATGAATGGCAATGCTAATGTTGATCCATAACTCAAATTCAAAACCTTTTCCAAAGTGGTGTATTAAACCAAATTTGTAGACATAGTATAAAAGGACTTGAAACCAGCCGAGAAAGCCTATTGTGACAGCTAGAGCTCCAAGAAAACTGGCAAGTTTCACCCCCGTACATGACGGTTCACAGAGCGGAACTTTGTTTCTTATATTAAAAATGTCATATTGGATATGTTTATAATATCTATAGTATATTTACGATACCAGTCTGCCTCAGGCTCTTTTAGGTTATTTTTACATTTAACTTGTTGTCTTTTTAGTTTAAGAAGTAGCCAAGTTCTCATAGTCCGAAGTTACTCGTAATTCGTGAAAAAAGACCCACCGAGATAAAGCTAACATTTGAAAGCAGAAAGTAGAGTGAGGTGAAACTGCTGAGCCAAGCAACACTTAAACAAGAAGAGGGAGCAGTGTTTTGCTCCTGGAGTCTTTGTGGTATAGTACATATGTATGTATGTATTGAATGAAAACGCCAGGCCCTCTGGTCAGATTTTTCTTTGCTGTTCCGTGTCCATTTCCCGTATGACGACTTACAATAGTAAATACTGACACTGTGGGTGAACACCGATAAATTGAATTTACGCCAAACGCAGAGTCGATTTGGTTTGGGGTTAAATTGTATATACTCGTTCCGTTTCCAATTCAGAAGGTCCTGCCAAATTAATGTGTTTGTCACCTTTTTAGCCATGAACGCTTTATAAACGCGTTGTTTATTCGATTGTTTACGTTGTTCATGTTCAACAAGAAGCAATGGTAGCAGATGAGTTTAATGTTAGTATTGGGCAACTCACTACACGAAGCAGAGTCTGGATGAGAGAATATGCAAAAAAAAAAACAAATATAAGCTGCGGGGCGGGGTGGGTTTAGCCACTGAAAATGTATTTCTTCATTCTGGCTATAATAATGATCCAATCGGACCCCAATTCGGTGATCTGATAGATTTTAGTTTTCTTTTATCTTCAAAATTGTAGCATTTTGAGGTTTTCGCCCTTTTTCGGGGCGGAAGAGGGCGTCGCTCATTTTTAAATACACTTGTAACAGTGTGAGCATACAGAAGTCTGGATGCAAAATTTGGGGGCTCTAGCTTTCATAGTATCTGAGATCCAGGCGCTCAATCGACTCTTCTATTGATGCTGATCAAGAATATATATACTTTATGGGGTCGGAAACGCTTCCTTCTGTGCGTTACATACACCCGTATTCACACAAATACAATATACCCTAATTATTTTTCGAGTACCGGGTATAACAAGACCTAAGGGACAGATATACTGGCTGAGTACCGGATATAAAAGTTGTGCAGCGTACGAAGCATCTCACACGTCCGTCCTCTTTTTATTCTGCAACTTATTTTTATTCTGCAACTTACACAATTGGTTTTGATGATGAAAATAAAACAGAATAATACAAATTGTATTCATAGAAGAATGTACATACAAAATACATTATAAAAATACATACATACATATTTACATACAAACATACATACATACATACATACATACATACATATGTAAACAATACATACATATACGTTTTACAACTCTTCTTATACAGATAAGAACCGTAATGCGTTTGACGTAAGAAAATATAAATAATACAATTTTGCTTTACTAATACATTACAAAAACGAGAAGGGACGTGTAAGACGCTTCTGACGCGTCACAACTTTTATACCCGGCACTTAATCTCCACCTTAGCGGTGTTTTGTCAAATTTTAAATTTTTTCTTCAGCTGTCATCTACATCTACAACACTTCGCACACCAACACGCTACTTTAGCTCGCCGCCCTAGACCCTAGACCCACACACTGCAGACTCGAGGCAGAGGCAGAGGCAGCGCCCGAACACAAAAAAAAAAAACAAATATAAGCTGCAGGACGGGGAGGGTTAAAAGTCGGAAGAGGCAGCGGCAGGGGGAGAGCAGGGGGAGAGCAGAGGCAGAGGCCGAGTGAAGCAGAAGCAGAGTGTGAATGAGAGAATGTAAAACGAACAACAAAAGCTGCGGGACGGGGTGGGTTTAGCCACTGAAAATTAATTTCTTCATTCTGGCTATAATAATGATCCAATCAGATCCTAATTTGATGATCTGATAGATATGGCCATTCCCTACGGAATGGCGTTTCTAGTTTTCTTTTATTTTCAAAATTGTAGATTTGGGAAGTTTTCGCCCTTTTGCGGGGGCGGGGCTAATTTTTGAAATACACTGGTTTCAGTGTGAGCATACAGCAGTCTGGAGCCAAAATTTGGTGGCTCTAAACGGACGGACGGACAGACGGGCAGACATACATGGCTCTATCGACTCGGCTATTGATGCTTATCAAGAATATATATACTTTATGGGGCGGAAACGCTTCCTTATGTGCGTTACATACAACCGTTATTCACACAAATACAGTATACCCTATTTACTCTTCGAGTACCGGGTATAAAAAAGCTTCAACGAACGTTTAACTTGGACGTAACCTAGATGCAAAGCATTTTTTCCATTTTAAGATATTAATTTGGGAAATTGGCTAAGCGCTGAATGACTCAAATAATTAAAAGTTTTATTTTCTTACCATCGTCACTGGTAATCCGCTGGGAGTACCGTTTCCATACGGATACGGCGATACCAAGTATCCCATGTTGAAGCTTGGTGTGTGGGGTTCTAGTTTATCTGAAACAAAAGAAATAAAAGGAAATTTGCTTTAATTGTGATTACCATTACCAATCAGTCTAATAGTCATTCGATTTATAATATTTCACCCTTAAATAGAGCATTGCATCCACCCTTCCAGCAGCTTTGTTTATTTTATTTGCCCATTCTCCCTCGCTCGCACACTCTACCTAGTGTCAAAAGTTATGTATGTAGATGTAGAGGACAGGTGTAGAATGTAAGATGTAAAATTTAAAATTCGAAAAAATCATAAGGTTACATACATACTCGTGCATTCATATGTGTGTATCAAACTAAGATTGCATAAATACTTATGTACATAGGTATGTATACTATGATATATATATGTATAGTTGTGTTAAATGTGTCCTCACATTCAAAGACAGTTTTGAGAGGCTTCCTGGCTTTCAAATTAAACAAGTGATACCTTTTTGAATAGACTAGAGTTTAGGCTTTAGAAAACCAAATAAATCCCTACTTATTTGCATTCCACCTTCTTGTTTGTCATAACTTTTTAAGGATATTCTTGAAATGGGCTGTTCGTTAAAACAATAGTGCTGAGTGCAAGTATTTCAAAATAGGGACGTGTGAGACGCTTCTTAGCGGTGTTTTGTCAAATTTAACATTTTTTCTTCATCTGTCATCTACATCTACAACACTTCTCACACCAACACGCTCCTTTAGCTCGCCCCCTTCCCTAGACCCACACACTGCAGACTCGCGGCAGAGGCAGAGGCCGCACACTGAACGAAGCAGAGTGTGAATGAGAGAATGTGAAAAAACAACAAAAGCTTCGGGACGGGGTGGGTTTGGCCACTGGAAATTAATTTCTTCATTGTGGCTATAATAATGAACCAATCGGATCCCAATTTGGTGATCTAATAGATATGGTCATTCCCTACGTAATTATCTTCAAAATTGTAGGTTTGGGACGTTTTCGCCCTTTTGCGGGGGCGGGGATCATTTTTTAAATACACTTGTAACAGTGTGAGCATACAGAAGTCTGGATGCAAAATTTGGTGGCGCTAGCTTTTATGGTCTCTGAGATCCAGACGCTCACCAAGACGGACGGACAGACGTACAGACGGACGGACAGACAGACATGGCTCTATCGACTCGGCTATTGATGCTGATCAAGAATATATATACTTGATGGGGTCGGAAACGTTTCCTTCTGTGCGTTACATACAACCGTTATTATGCACAAATACAATATACCCTATTGACTCTTCGAGTACCGGGTATAAAAAGGCCTAAGGGACACATATACAGGCTGAGTACTGGGTATAAAAGTTGTGGCGCTTAAGAAGCGTCTCACACGTCCTTTCTCGTTTTCCACTGTGACAGAGCTCAGCCTCATGCGTTTCTACAAGCTTTAGCCAAACATCCATATACTCTCAGAACCAAAGGCGTTGCTTTTTGGGACATCTTACTACTAAATAATGCGTAGTCAGTCGTCTACGAACTGTCATAACACTTTCTGAGCGATATAAAATTGTTTTCATAACTTTTTAGGATATTGAAGACCTTGACCTTGACCACTTGTAACCACTTGTACAAGTGTCGACCACACTGATCTTCACCCCCTTTTTTTGCCACAGCAAAAGTGCAAAACCCTCCCAAAGCTACAATTTTGAAAATAAAAAAAATAAAAACGGCATTCCGTAGGGTATGACCATATCTATCAGATCACCCATGTTGTAGAGGTCAGATGAAGAAAAAATGAGAAATCTGAGTACCAGGTATAAAAGCAGTGACGCGTAAGAAGCGTCTCACACGTCCCTTCTCGTTTTTATGAACAGGTGCATGAACTGGGAGTCGTTTAAGGTAATGATCTTCAAAATCTATGGAGAGACGGCTGAGCTACATTTGTTCAGCCAATTGTTCAGGCGGGAGTAAGGAAGTAATGAAATCAAAATATTAAACCTCAAGAAACATGTATTGCATAAAATAGTATGTATTAACTTGAGTTTGGGTTTTTTTCGATTTTATAAAATGTACTACTATTTTATTGAACAGCATTTTTCATGGGTATTTTTGTAAAGTTTGGTTTCAAATGAGTAGACTCAGGCTTTCTAGAAAGGAATCATTTTTTAAATTTGAAAATGTCTTAAAAATAGCTTTGAAAGTGGTGAATATTGTATTATTATTACGATTGTGATGTATTATGAATATGATACAATTATCAAAGAATTAACGTGTCACTCTACCATTCTATAAAAAAAGAGATTGTTAAATAAGAGGCAAAAAATTGCAGACTGCGCATAAAAGTAAAAAAATACATTCCTATGTAACATAACCATTAAATATAACCCAAACTCAAAACATTCTAAATCAAAATGCTATGAGGAAGAACCGACAATTCTAGATGAGGAAACCAAAAAGAAGGCAGACAGCGTCAGAAAAAGCGAAAATTTTGATCATCAGAATAAAGGCCGGCCAGCGACTTAAAATTCTTGGGCCCTGAGTGGCGCGAAAGAGTTGCCGATTGTACGAAAACTCGTTAATTCTGAAGGATATACTGAAAACATACTTTGAAGTCTGTGTTCAAGAAAATAGTGTATACATGTACATATGAACTATAATAACATGCATTTACCTTACCTCGTTTACTAGCTCGTTCGTGTGTACATATTTACATTTATAACAATTTTTAATAGTATGTATGTACATATGTATATATATCCATACATACGTATGTATATAGGATCCCCTTAAAACTAGACGTGTAGTTGAACATTGTTCTGTGGAATCAACATGCTTGCCATACCGAAGAAAAGCTCGTTAACTGTTTTCTTATTAATTGAAAGAGTGTGGATGGCTGATTTTTACTAATGCATCTATTACACAGTATGTGTGTAAATATGAATTTGAGCAAAGTATGGATATTCTACTTACACATGTATTTTTTATGTATACACATTTTTTAAACTGCTTAAAACAAATACCGGACGTACACAGTGTGGAACTTAATTAGAATTTGGAACTACCATCCATACCTTATTTATTGCGCTTTATTTTTTATACATTAACTTGTTTTTTATATGTTCCCACCATACATCCGCACGTGAATATGCCTGTATGTTTATGTGTGTGTTCTGTTGTAGATACAATTATGTACAAACAGAATACCAAAATAAAACAAAATATATCAACACAGAAAACAAGAAGTGAAGTAGCGTGTCGACGAACGATCACCTTGTTAGCACCATGCCAGCTCTACAGTCAGGCAGCCAGCCGGTTATTTATCCCTTACCATGCCCCTTACCATCTGTCTCTCTCTCTCTATCTCTCTCCCTTATGCCGCGTCTTAATGCTCTCTTCAGCTTCATCTTCGAAGTTCGCTGCCAGACCGTTTTGCGACCCCACTGCATACACACATGAACTCATGCATAGCAGACTGTGTGAAAACCATACAAGGAAAGCACTTCCACAAGCACAAATTGCTGTATACTTGTATTTATATGTATTCTACTCTCCACCGTGGGCATAATCATGCATAAGGTATAGGTGGAACGATGGACTTAACTTAAAACTAAGAAAGTGTTTCATTATCTTGACTAATTTTAGGATTTGAGATGGTAGGTGCATCATTGTTGAACAAAACATTGATATTTTTATACCCGGTACTCGAAGAGTAGATAGGGTATATTGTATTTGTGCACAAAGAGGATGTATGTAACGCACAGGAGGAAACGTTTCCGACTCCACAAAGTATATATATTCTTGATCAGCCGAGTCGATAGAGCCATGTCTGTCTGTACGTCTGTCCGCCTTTGTTTTCGGATAGTTCTCAGATACTATAAGAGCTAGAGCCACCCAATTGTGCATCCAGGTGTTTGTATGCTCACACTGAAACCAGTGTATTTAAAAAATTATCGCCGCCCCCGCAAAAGGTGGAAAACATCCCAAAGCTACAATTTTGAAGATAAAAGTGCACTAAAATCTATCAGATAACCGAACTGGGATCCGATAGGATCATTATTATAGCCACAATGAAGAAATTAATTTGCAGTGGATAAACCCACCCTGTCCACCAGCTTTTGTTGTGTTGTTCACATTCTCTCATTCACACTCTGCTTCTGTAGTGTGCGGCCTCTGCCTCCGCCGAGTCTCTGTAGGGTGCGTTATGTAGATGTATATGTAAATGACAGATGTAGAAAAAATATAAAGATGTAGAAAGTGTCAAATGTAAAATTCGAAAAAAAACCATAAGGTACAGGTACGCAGGTTTTCGCCCTTTTGGGGCCCACCTTTGAAATACACTTGTAACAGTGGGAGCATACAGCCATCTGGATGCAAAATTTGGTGACTCTAGCATTTATAGTCTCTGAGATCCAGGCGCTGAACAAGACGGACGGACAGACAGACATGGCTCAATCGATTCAGCTATTGATGCTGATCAATAATATATACATTATGGAGTCGGAAACGTTTCCTTCTGTGTGTTACACACATTCATTTTGTACACAAATACAATATACCCTATTTACTCTTCGAGTACCGTGTATAAAAAAACGAGAAATATGCAGAAGAATGCACGCAACAACAGCTTAATCCAACACACCAACTTGTGCACAAATCAAAAAAATAATTCTTTCTTACTTCGGAAAATTTAAAAAGCGATCTCAATGCACCGGTTAGTAGTCGTACTATATGAAATAGGTTGATTTAAGTCGATTACAAATTACATATAGTCGTGGGTGCATTTGGTCGTGGGAAGTTGTATTAAGGTGCCTAATATGAGGTATGAGGTATGAGGTTTCCTAACAAATCTGAGCAAATTGACTCTAGTTTCATTTGACCATTTTATTGACTGGAGGAAATAAATGCACCTTTGATGCAGAGTATTTTTTATTTTTTCCGTCACTGAATGGTACTTAGGTACATTTGTGCATACATATATGTACATATGTAGATATTTACAGAAATGTTATTGATGATCATCTCCCCTGATGAGCCAAGTTAGTAAGCAGGAGCATATGTACATATGTATCTATGTATGACGTTGCTGCCAAATGATCGAACGATCAATAAACAAGACAATGAAGCGCAACTGGATGTTATTGACGGATGTTGAATCTATCCTATGTTCCCCAAAACAATTAAAGCATGGTTTTAAAGACCTGAAAAGCATCATTCAGTTGCCATTTGCTTTCGCGCAATAATATACCAAAGAACAGCCAAAATAATGGAATTCTAACTGAGAAATTCATCACCAATGTAGGGAAACTTTTTCTGCCTGCCATCTTTGTTATACAATCTTGAACTGGGAATGAAGCGAATTGCAGATCCAGAGTGGTATACTTATATGAATACTGACTGAGTATCGGGTATAACAGTAGTGACGCTGCTTTGGAAACGTTTTTCTTCGTTTAATATTTTTATAAGGTAACGCTTCTTATTTACACATAAAATAATCCAGTCAATTACATATGCTTGTACTCAATAAATGTACGTACATATGTATGTATTATAATGTATCTCATAGATGTCTCAACACTTCATCTTACCTCAAAAGGCCTCTACCTCTTCTTTAGTATATCTGTACATATCTGTACATGTGCTATATGCTATATATCTATATTTATATGGATTTATTCAATATATACTTACTGAAAACAGGACTGTGGTCCGGCCTAACTGTTTTGTTGACCTTTTCCTAGATAGAAAAATAAATAAATAGAACAAATATATATGTTAACTTTTAAAGCGCTATGAATTTTAGTATCTGTAACTTTATAAATAGTTTGTTTAGAGAATCTATGCTTACCTCACTTTCGGTTAGATCTATTAAGCTAGACTTCTCTTCGACTAAAAGATTTTCGGATGATATTTTCTCATCTTCGCGGTCTCCTTCGTCCTTAAATATCTTGACTTCGTCGGTACTACATAAATCATCCCCAGATGACCCGTGCCGGTTGTGTGTATGCGGCATGTTTTACTCCTTTCCAGCTTTAAAGCTTACCGGCGTTTGAGTCGAGTTAGCCTAAATAATGCCGGTTATGCTCGCCTCGCATACGCGATTGACTGTCGTCGTCACTTTACTGTTCCGCATATGGTTCTTCTGGAAGTGTGATTTATCCATGCTTTTGATTGAATGTGATCTCCGGAACTGGCTCGATAAACCAAAGCGTCCTAAATGAATTTAATTTAAAAGCCTAGTTAGTTAATTTACTTAATAAAAAAGCGTAATTCAGATACAAAAGTGTTCATAATAAGTTGAAAGAACATACAATGAATGGTTGCACAATCATGTGTACATATGTATGTGCATAAATGTAAGATAACGCCAGACTGTTTGTTAGATAAACTTGTTCTAAAATAAAGCACACAACACTAAAACGAAACTAGCAGAACTTTGAACGCGTTCAAATTCATACATTTATTTAGTCTAGTCAAGATTCCATAACTTAAATAGGTTAATTTTTTGAGCGTCTGGCCAACTTTTAGCTATAAAATCAGACAGAACAAGATAAATTGTGTTCCACTGTCGAGTGTTTTTATTTAGGGTTACTACCCATTTAATCTTATCTCATGTGCTACCACCACCACCGTAGAAATTACAGTAAACAAAAGCATACACACAGAAGACTACATTACGTACGTATTTATGTATATTTAAACAAGAAGGAAATGCTAGTTGCGGGTCTCTGTCGATCGATCGTTTTTATTGTCGTCCAACTTATAGAAAACAGCTTTATTTGACACATGTACATGTGGTTTTTGTCCAAATGACGTTCTGCTATCCTCTGCATAGATATATACATGTACCGGTAAAACGAATATACAATTGCAAATTTAAAATAGTTCGAGCTACACTCGAATTTAGTCCTAAAATAATTTCAGCACTAATTTCATACAAGTTACAAAAAAACTTCAAATTACAGAGCAATTTCGCAAAGTTTTCATTAAAATAGGTTTCTATAGTTGATTCAAAGGTTAATTTTTTTTTAAGCTTTTGGAAGCCACACCAAAGACTCAGAGTCTTGTCATAAAAAAATAACCTTATTTTCGCATTTTCTCAGGGGTATTTTTTTCCACAAATCTGGCAGGACCCCCCAAATATCAATATATTTTGATTTAATTTCGTATTAGAAAAATATTTTTTAAATGCTGCTAAAAGATTTTCTCTAGGGTTCATATCTTTGTTATTCTATACCTTTTCGAGCTTCCTAGCTGGTCTGTTTTAGGTCATTGTCCTGATGGAAAATTTAAAATGACAAATGTCAAATTCGAAATAAACCACTAAGGCGGCACAGAGCACTGACAAGGTACCGGGTATAAACGTTGTGAAGCGTACAAAGCGTCTGACAATCGTTCCTACTCATTAAACTTTAAATTTTTTTATATTATTTTAAGACGGGTGGTTTTTTTTTCAAATTTTACATTTGTCATTTTAAATTTTTTTCTGCATATGTCATCTACACCTACATTACTTCTCATGGCAACACGCTCTTTTAGCTTATCATCAAACCATTTCTAAGCCCATATCTTTCATTAAAAGTTGGTCAGGATCAAAGCGGCAAAATCGGGTCGGATAGTGTTATCCAATCTAAACCCAATTCGGTGATCTGACAGATATTACCATTCACTACGAAATTACATTTTTAGTTTTCATTATCTTTAAAATTGTGGATACAGCAGATTTTCGCCCTTTGATAGCTTTTAATAGTCTCTGATATATCATCAGATAGACGGCCAGACGGATGGCCAGACGGACGGACAGACAGACATTTCTCAATCGACTCGGAATACACTCTATTTACTCTTCGAGAAAAAAATTTTTTTGAGTTCTTTTTATTTTTATGGCGTGGTTCTCATAGTTTCCACAGCATTACCGAATTGGCTTAGAAATATGTAGATACAAAAATACATAACTATGTATGTATGTACATGCACAATTTCCATGAACAATACTTTATTGTGTTATTTTATTATTTATTATTATTACCTCTACGACAAACGAGTACTTATTTTTCTATGTACACCGCATATTCAATCGACATATGTACATACATACATATGTAAATATTTCACATGAATCCAAATTATTACGCCTACATACATATGGTGCACGTGGGGTACGTCCGAGTCCCAGTCCGTGCAGTCACAGTCACGGTCAACGTCAACAAGCATCAAGAACCCAAGCAACCATTTCTCAGAAAATGTATTCCGAATGCTGCTTAAGAAATTTGTAACAGCGACCCGACCGACCCGCACGGACAATTCTCTCTCAATCCTCTTTCGGATAAAATACTCTGCTGAGCTAAGCAAAGAGGAAAAAATAATAGTATTGACAATGTTTGGTGCCAACATATCTGTTGTTTGGTTGTTGGATATTCGGACACTGCTACCTGCCCTGGCCTGCCAGTTCACAGATCACTACGTTCATAGCGATTCCAAAAGATTGTTTATGGGTACTCACAGCAGGGAATACTAACTACATATTAGTTCAAGGTAAAACAATAACCGCCGTCGACCGTTGAAGACAGGGGCAGTTGAACAACAACATCGCTTGCATCGGTTCGGCGGCAAGACTAATGACACAACGAGTTTCTATTTAGGGAAAAGATTGTGGATTGTGGGATATCAACAGGTAGAGAAGAACGTGGAATAAAGATACAGAAAAGGTATTTTCAGCAAATAAATAAACAAACCAAACAGGGATGCGATGTATTCTGTTCCGCAGTCATTTGTATGTATGTGCATGTATTTGTATAACACTGTCCAATTACATATATTACATCTACATAAATTCTTACGATTTTGTATGAATGTAGACATTTTCATCGTACTTGCTGTGTGTGGGTGGGAGGTTTGGGTTTTAGTTGAAAACTACTTAACTGCATAAAATATTAACTTACTTAATATGTTTTAAAATCCGAATCCGATCGTACAATGTAGTACATACTGCCAAACATTTTTTTGTCTCAGCTGAACAGTTTTTGTTGTACCTCCGTCGGCCAAGCCAACCACATGCTTCGCGTTAGGTACGCATTATGTGAAAACGAACTTTAAGACTTTTTAAAACACGGAAGATAGCGTTTACAAGAATTTACTTTAAAATCCAAATTGCAAACATACAACACCATGTGTATTAATTTATGTATTTTCATCTGTTTTCAACTCAGTCAACACACACACTTCTTGTGTCGATCGCACTAACACGCACACACTAATCACTTTAGTGTGTGCACACATACATGCACGATCCACTACACTCAGTCGCGCACACTTGTATCTTTCTTTTCAGATTTACATACATGCACACACAGACACACACGAACATCTGTATAATATGGTTATGATTTCATCAAAGCACAAATCGACGCACCAGCCCAACCACAAGATCCCCCTTTTTTTTGTACTTAACACAGGATTGTTTTTATATAGTACCACCTAGATAAGATAGGGATTTGATCATTTATTTATTATTCACCGTTATTTGTATACATTACAAACGAAATCAACGGCTTTTTTTTTAATTTTTTCCTTGCCGAGTTGATTTTCAGAAAACACATTCGCGTTATTTTTGTTTTCACTTGCTTTTAAAGTTTTTCAATTTATCTCGCGCCGCCACAACCGCTCGGACCAATTTTGAATTTTATGTGTGCAGTGTGACCGCGAAACTATCGATAAAATATACCGTCAGACCCTCAAAAATATACCAAAATATACCTTCTCATTTTAAAAATATACCGTAAATCTTAAATCATTTTTTTATGTTCGATTTTGATGTTCTTTTCGATATTACTAGCTAGTTAGAAGTCTACGCGCTAAAACTATAATTTTATCCGATTTATCAATAAATTCTCCACAAGATTGGCTAGTTTTCACGACATCCTTTTGTTTGAATGTTTGCAAATGAAGTTTGAAAATAAAAAAATTAATACAAAATAAATTAGCATAAAACGTAAGACTGCTACTGTTTACGACATTGTATTTGATGTATCAATTCACCATAAGCTAAGTTATTTTTCATGACCTCATTTTGCTTTTATTTAATTTTTTGTTTTTTTGTTATTTAATTGCTACAGCGAAATTGGTTGGTTGGTTTGGAATATATGCTAATATGAACTTTGCGCCGAATTAATGGCATAAATGGAAGTATGGAGATCCACAGAGCGCTGAGAAAGTTGCTGAAATTTCTTCAGAGGAGAAGCCTGGATCGTTCAGGAGCTGAAGCAAATTTGGGCAGTAGTGCAAAAGTGTACATAAAAAACGGAGAGTTGGAGATATGGAATATGATGAAACTCATTCAGAAATTAGGTCAAAAACGTTGCTAGCCATTAAACTATACGTGTACATATATATTTCG